GCAACTTACAGTTTTTCCCGGCTGACTTGCTCGTTTAAGCTAGAGCAAGTGCCGCACAATCGCTCGAGCTGCTTTGAAAAGGTGCGATTGTGACACGTAGCTTCCATTAATTTTAATAATTCATTTTTATTTTAGTTTATTTATATAAGTATTCCAGTTTTTTAAAAAGGAAAAATAATAAAATTCGCGATTCCTATTTAATCCAGTCCTAACTCCTAAAGTTGGAAATTTTCTTTATGTAAATATTCTAAATTTGAAAAAATAATAGAGTTTATTATTCTACACTATTTTTATAGAAAAAATTGAAATATTTTTTTCATATAAATATGTCAATCTTTAAAATTGAAAAAATAATTTATTGTACATGATATATTTTTTTCTTCACTATAAATCATTAAAATTTATAGATTTGATTGTTATTATTTTTATAATTTTTAATTAAAATTTGTGTAGTCTATACAAGTCGTACAAAGTTTTTTATAAAACTATTTTTTCATATAAATTATAATTTTATATAATTTTTTATTTTCATTGAAAAAAATAATTTAGACATGTATATCTTATGAATTTTAATTGTTGGTCATATTTTTAAATAGATAATTTAAATCTTTAAAAATTGTCTTATAGATTCCGGAACTTTAAAAAATGTCATTTAGATCTTCAAACTTTCAATTTAATATATAATAGGAGTTTGAATTTTCAATATTTGTTTAATTTATCTATATTCTATTAGAAATTATCCAATAAACATAAAATTAAAGTTCATAAACCTATTTTGCACATTTTAAAATTTAGAAACGTATTAAACATAAATTTATTTAATATTTTAAAATTAATAGATAAACTTGTAATTTATATAAACTATATATATATATATAAACCCAAGTTGCATGTCATAAAATTCTGGATCTGCCAAGGCATATTGTTAAGAGTTTCTCATTGAATTGAATTGGTGAGGTAAGTGTGCGTCTGGGTTACGCTACAATTTGAAGAACAGATTAATTCCAAAAAAATCGGTTCAAATCAGAACCGAACCGGACTGAACTAAACCAAATATATAAATATATAAATATATATATATTATGTTTTGGTATTTTAGAACTTAGGGTTTCAGTCTTTGCCGCCGCTCATCCCTCTCTCTCAATCTCATAGTCCAATTCCATCTTTCTCGCCGTCGCCCGTCACCCGTCACCGGTCATCGGTCACCGGTCGCCGGTCGCCGCCGTCAGCTCTCTTTCTTCGCCTCATTCAGTCACACGAGGTACTTGTTTGTTTCAGAAGAAATCAACTCAATTCCACACGAGATTACACCTTATTTTTACGACTACTTTTGTTGTTGTTCTCTTCTCTCTGTAGTTCTTGCATCTGAGTTGTGATTGTTTCAGACATGGAAGTTGCGGTCGAAGCGGCTCAGGAACTCACCGAGTCTCACCACGATGTGAAGCTTTTCAACCGCTGGACCTTTGATGATGTCCAGGTTACATTTTGTTCTTTTAACTGCTTTGTTTGGATGCCATGTTGATTTCTATGCAATTTCTGATGCTATTCTGCTTTTCAATTATTGGGCTTTTCTCTGATGTTTGTTCCGTGTTCTTCCCATCATAGCTTCGTTTTTGGATTTCAATGTTCATTCAGTATGGTAGGCTTGTTATATAGTGTGTCCATTGACATATTTCTTTGGTGAATTACTTGCTAATTGTTTGTACTGAGATTCAAATCGTTCCTCCAAGTTTTAGTCATCCTACCTTGTACTTTGTAAGACTTTGCAACTTGTTTGTGTGATTAATTATTATGGGTTCGTTTGGTAATGTTCCCGTTTCTTGTTTCTCGTTTTCAATTTTTGCAATCAACTATGTTTCTTGTTTCTCCATTTTTTTTTGGGACATTATCAAAATTGTATGGAGACAATCAAAATAAGTTTTTTTCTTACTCTAAAACATAAATAAAAAGATATTTTTATCATATTTGAATCATGGATGTTAGGGTCCTCCAATTCATTTTTTCTTTATTAAAAATGAAGAAGTAAAAACAAGAAACAGTAACGTCACCAAACTGGCTCTAAATGCCTGAGTTTTGCAGTTCAAACTTTTGTACTGTCCCTTGATGGGAACAATAAGATATGTCTTTTTTTTGGTATTTGTTTATGTTTCCCCCTCTTTTTTTAGTGTTGATGTTTTGTTTCTTGTAATGGGAGAAAACAATTAAGGGTTTGAATCCATTGTCTACACTTTTCATTTTACTTGCGAGTTATGATCAGATAGTGTCACAGTGAGAAGCTTTTCTTTTCTTTTTCTTTTTTTAATAATTTGTATTTGCTAATTTTGTGTGGTACAATGGTGGTTGGTTTGTACTATTTGGCTTAAACTTGGCTTGTAATACCATGTACATTTTTTTACGCCTTGTGTGTGACGATTCAGGTTAACGACATCTCTCTGGTGGATTATGTTGGAGTTGCACCTGCCAAGCATGCAACTTATGTTCCACACACTGCAGGTCGTTACTCTGTGAAGCGTTTCAGGAAGGCCCAATGCCCAATTGTGGAGAGACTTACAAACTCGCTTATGATGCACGGTAGGAACAACGGGAAGAAATTAATGGCTGTGAGGATCATCAAGCATGCAATGGAGATTATTCATCTACTAACTGATCTTAATCCAATTCAAGTTATCATCGATGCTGTTGTTAACAGGTATACTTATATGATCCACTGAGTTCAATCAATGAAATGTTCTATTTACGTTATACCATGGTTGGTTAATCATGCTCGTTACAATTTGGCAGTGGACCCCGAGAAGATGCTACTAGAATTGGTTCAGCTGGTGTCGTCAGGCGTCAAGCTGTAGATATATCCCCGCTGCGACGAGTAAACCAGGCAATATATCTTCTCACAACCGGCGCTCGTGAGGCTGCCTTCAGAAACATCAAGACGATTGCAGAATGTTTGGCTGATGAACTAATCAATGCTGCAAAGGGCTCTTCAAATAGGTAAATATTATATCACTTACTGAACTGATGATCTCTCATCCATCCTTGAACAGCATATCAGTGAGTTCTTTTTTTGTCTGTTCTTGCAGTTATGCCATCAAGAAAAAAGATGAGATTGAGAGAGTTGCAAAGGCCAATCGTTAAGGATAATTGGAGGGAAAAAGATGAGTTATGTTTTTTTTTTTTTTGCTCTTTCCCAAGTTTTACAGACATGGTTGTCGTCAATGTTTTGCTTCGTTTTCCTAGCGACGAAACTTTCATCCAATACTTGATTAAGGATTAAGAATTAAGAGCATTGATATTGATATTAGTTTATATTCAATTTTGAGTAAATTGCTGAAGTTTATTTGCGTTTATAGACTTGTGTGGTATTTTCTATTTTGAATCCTTAATCTTATGTTTTAGAACACTGAATATTGTACTCTCTTTGAAGAATTTAATTATACCAAATAGTCCTTTGATCCTCGAACATTTTAAGAATCCGGTATGGTCCTTTGTTCTTCTTATATGTTTGGAATGAAAGTTGTCCTTTCATTAATTTAGAATACATTCTATTTTACATGTTTTAATTTTAACAAACATAAAATGAATTCATATTTAATATGAAGTAATATATTATCAAAGTTTGTATTTTTTAATGTAATTTTACATCTTAAAAATTTTAAATTATGAATCTGAAAATACTGAGAACATAAAAAAGTCGAACATAATCTAAGTTTCCAACTAAACATATCCTAAATTTTCTTAATGGTTTTAAAAACTCTCAATTAGGTTGTTTTGGTTAAACTTTGTTAATAAAAAGCTGACACAACATTAATTTAATTACTACATCAACTTTCTATCCCCAAGTTCTAACATATTTTGCAATTAAAATTTTTTAATACATTGAGGTAACTTGTGAAAAAACTTGAAAAAATTATGAACGAGTTGCATATTTGGAGACTGATTATTTTTTTCTCTACAAATATCTTCATTCTCTGAATGTCCTCTCCATTTCCAAACATCCCATGTCTCTATTCTCTAAAAAACAAAAACCAAAAACACAAGAAAACAAAAAACATTTCTCCTTTGATTTACATAAATGACCGAAATCTATAAAATTTGTAATTGTGTCAATAACTAGTCTACTGTAAAAGCCTATATTTAGTTGTCCTTACCCACCATTTCAAAGATTTAAGGAAAAAATATATTTTTGGTCGATTTAGTCCAACTTCACAATGAACATTTTTTTGTCCTGTTTCAGTTGTTCTGACTAATGAAATGAGGTGGTACTTAAATTGCTGATTGGACAAAATATATTAATATTTTGTCACCTTTTTCACATTCTTCTTCCTCTCCTTCTCCGGTGAACTCGCCACCCCGCCATTTTCTGATTCTTTACACCTAACAAAAGTGTGAGAGTGAGAAACAGTGAAAACTCCAATCCCATCCTCCCCCACTACACACAGACGATAAAACAACCCAGTCAAACCAAGATCTGCCACTCTGATTATGAACTATTCCATGAAAACTCCCATTTTTTGCTACTGTAACTCTCTCTAATTCCTCTTTCTAATACTCCAAATCGTCCATTCCCTTTTCGTAACCTTCTCCTCTCCTCTTCTCACTATCTTCGCTTCTTCTTCTCTGTAATTTCTGCACTCGCTATATCAAAGCTCTGGCTGCGAATACGTCTCAGGCATTGGCGCCTCCAACCTGAGGTCGTGGCCTTTGAATCGGACTTCGTGGTGATTTTGGCGGCGCTGCTGTGTGCCCTAATTTGTATGGTATGGCTAATAGCGGTGCCTCGGTGCACCAAGACGATCCTGCTTAGCTGCATAGACACTTGGCTAGGCTCCCATTCCTTTTGCTACCAGATTCTGACCATCGCGAACTGCTTAGAAGTGCTGGTAGTTCACGGCCGTCGTTCGCGGCGCTCACAACGACAATGAGAAGGTGAAGGGGAAGATAATTTGGAAAAAAAGATAAAAAGATAAAAGAAAGGGGAGAGTGGAATCATCCAAAAATATATTACTAAATTAATATATTTTATCCGGTAGCGATTTAAGTGCCACCTCATTTTAACATTAGTCAACTTTAAGAACAATTTATTAAATTTCAAGGACTAAAAGCATCTATTTGAAACTTGAGGAACCAAATAAAAATGTTCATTTTGAAACTGTAGGGACTAAATAGACAACTATTCCAAACCTTGGGGACCAAAAGTGTATTTTTTCCAAGATTTAATTTAAAAAATAATGAGTTGTCAATATTTAATGGTGATAAGACAAAATTATTCTTTACTAATGAGAAGTCAAATTTTAGCCTATCTATGCAGATATTATAGGGCAATCCAGAAGTTTGAGAAAATGCTTTAAATTGTCCTTCAACTGTTAATTGACTAACAGTAGGATGATGTGGAAGTTAATTTGCTGATTGGATTTTATGGAGTTCTTTAATAATATTTTAGAGGTGAATGGGCTATTATCTCTCCTCTTAAAAAGGGAAATCTTTAGGAATGGCTACTCAGGTTATCGTTAGGTCAAAGTTTTTTTAAATTACATGACATAGCTTTGGTTTTCTAGATTTTAGGGGAGGTGTATAATTCTTTATTTATCCCTCTACACATTTCATGCCTATATTGCCCTTGCAGTCTTTCTCCATTTTACCCATCCACGTTTTATGCCTCCTACATTCCCTTAAATCTCTCCTCTAGCAAAGTTAATATTGAAACCACCTTAACTACAAAATCTACATAATTCCTAAAATCTTTCCACAAAATTTAAACCACAAAATCTACCTATATCATAGGTAATATTGAAACCACCTTTACATATATGATTAAAACAAGTTTAAAATGTGTTTAATTTTTTTAAACAAACCTAACTAATTGGTTTGAACATTCCACTATCATCAACAACCTTAAATACAGTGTTTCTTTAACATTCTTACACAACGTATCATTAATCCCCACCCATTTTATTTTTACATTTTTTCAAGAATTAAATCAATCAAGGGGGGAACATTATGCGATCATTGTTAGCCACGATTTTAGTTGGGAGGAGCACAACAATTATCAAGGATTAATTAGCGGGCACATTTCAATTCCATTCGATTTCACCCTACAACAACTCTGTGAATGTATCTCTAGAGATCTTCATTTTCTAGAAGGAAAAAAAATTACACGTCTTTCACTTTTCAGATATGGTACTGGCAAGTCGATAATTATGAGGCTGTTAGTAGAAAAAAAATTACACGTCTTTCACTTTTCAGATATGGTACTGGGAAGTCGATAATTATGAGGCTGTTAGTAGATAGGGACGTGGCGTGGGTCATATCCCTGTTGGCAGATGTCAGGTGCAGCGACTACGACATAGTTGTAGATACTGACCTCGTATATAACACCATCTACGGGGGTAGTGAAAGTTCAGACGCCGAAAATAGATTGAAAACTATMTGCAGAAAATAGTCATATTTTGCATCACATAATCTTTCTTTATCACTAAATCGGAACAAAGATCAATGCATAAAATATGACAAAAAGGTAACCAAAACCAACAAAATAAAAAATGCATATTAGCAATCAAGAAAACATATATTAATATTTACCTAAGGAGAGATACGATGGATGTGTCAATATATGGCTACTAGAGGTTATGTCACAAAATAAGCCAGAGACGTTGATACGACGGGGTAGATATAAGATTCTATAGAGTAGATGGCCATTTTGACTGGGTTATCCTTTGTCCATCAACATTCATGACTAATATGCCACGATTATTACATTCTAAGAAGTTGCATTTTAATTCTTGATATATGAGAATTAGTCATGAGTTACTGAAACATTACTCGAAAGAATCTTCCTATTGCAGCAAACCCAGTTCTTAGAAAATTATATTATTAACGAAAAAAGAAAACTCCACAAGATTCAACCATTGAATCAAGCCTCAAAAACAATTCGTCCTGTAGAACCAACAAATACGAATGCGTATTCCTAATATTGTTAAAATTAATTAGTTCCTAATGAGTATCAACCAGTACCACATAAGTATCAATTAGTTCTACGGGAATCTAATTGGATGTTCTTGATTTTTTTACAATAAATTTTAGATATTTAACAATAAAATGGTTACATTGAGCTAAAAAACATCGGAATAGACAAGTTCCAGGTACTAATGATATTTATTGAAACATCATAATTGAGGTCTGTGTTTAAATTTATTGAAATTTGAAATTTAAGATGAGATTTTAGATTGCAAATTTATTTAAATTTTTTTTTTTGCAAATTAAACTACCGTACAATCTAATTTTAACAATATTTTTATTATTTATTATTTAATCTAAACTATATTTTCAATATAATCTCCCCAACTGACCATATCTACAAGGTGTCCTAAAAACAGGTTGTGTCCAACAAAATCCCTTGAATATTAGAGGTTCCTAACAAACGGTCAATTATTTAAACCTCATTTATTTAAACAACATTCAAAATCGATTGATGAATACCCTTGTTGGATAAGCAAGAGTGGGAAGAGGGATGCCAAAGATTGTGTACGCCGAAGAGGGACGCGGAAAGCTTGAGGCGCACGAGGCTTCATGGGCTTGAGACTTAATTGAATCAAATTTTATTTGATTTTAGGAAGGAAGAGTTAGGGCAAGTGTGGGAATGAGGAGTTAAAAGGCAAAAGTGGGAAGGAGTCATTTGAGTTGTCTTCTCTTCCATAATGGATCCTAATATGGTATTAATCTTCAACTACTACATTTATAATTTTAAAAACAGTACTTTACAACATCAATCTTTATTTTTCCACATTGGTATGGTATCAGAGCTGTGAGTCTAACGACAAATACTCAGTTCCAAGAAAAGTACAAGAATCAACCAAGATATATAAAAAAGAATGACCGACTCTACTGAAGCAAATCCATAAATTTCAACACAGCGAGGGGTGAGCTATTGCTTTTTACTAGGACACATGAATAAGCTACTTTGGGCATGTTTAGTAACGTTCTTATTTCTTGTTTCTCGTTTCCAATTTTCTTAAGACATCGAAACATTTTGCAACTAACTATGCTTCTTGTTTCTCATTTTTTAGGAACATTTTCAAAATTATATATAAATTTTGGAAATAACCAAAACAAGTTTCTTTTTTCTTATTCTCATTTCTCATTTGTTCCAAAATAATAAATAAAAATATTGTTTGATCATACTTGAATTCATGGATGTTGGGAACATATAATTCATTTTTCTTTATAAAAAATAAAGAAACAGAGACTTGAAAAACAGGAACGTTACCAAACGAATCCGTTATCTACCTAAATTTTAAATTAGTGTTTATCGTAGTTTAGGATCAAGGGATTCAAGACTTTTAAACTCTAG